GGTGGGCGGGCGCCGATCTCTTGGCCGGTGACGTCTCAGAGCCCCCCGGACACCCACGATCCATGCGCCGTTGCCCCTGCAGCAAGATTACATGTTGACGGCGGCGGGACGGCCTCTGCTGTCGCATGTTTCTGTTTACTGCTCCAATCTCCGCCGCAACTTTTTGTATAACAGCGTTTGGCAGCCCCTCTGCGCCACGCTTTAGCCCCCAACAGCCGTGTAAACACCACGACGACCCGCGCACCAATCACCTACGCATCTAGACCCTTCAGCTGTACGCACCACGATTACGCACCAACGGCCCGCATCTGCACCGAAGACTGCGCCTTCCTCGTACTTCACCAACAGAAAGCCCCTACCACTCGCGCCTTCCTCTCCGATTTTTGCGACTTCCTCTGCGACCGCTCCGCGCCTTCCTCTCTCATCTCCGTGGCGCCCTGGACCCTGTCCAAACAGACTTCCCAAAGCGTGCCTGCCTCCGCGATCCAACGTTCCTCCACGTGCAGCCTCGTGCACCTTCACACACGGCATTGAAGTCGCCAACAGTTTTATCCATGCTTCCGCGGTAAAACAGCTTCAAAATCAATTACACCCCCAGGTCGAGTCGCCAGTGCACTAGCACTTGGTAGCACACGCTGCGACCCAACCAAACCATGGACGCAACAGCCCACCTCCTCCATGCCGCCGCCCAACTGGACGCCCGCTCTGGTGGCATGGGCGGTGATACTGGAACCCGTCCAGGCTCGTACAAAATCATCGGTCTCGTCCTGGCGATTGCATCGGGAGTCTTCATCGGCACGTCGTTTGTTATCAAGAAGCATGGTCTGTTACAGGCGAACAAGAAGTACAATGAAGAGGCGGGAGAAGGCTACGGGTACCTCAAGAACGCCTGGTGGTGGCTCGGCATGACCCTCATGATTGTTGGAGAAATATGGTACAGACTGCGAGGCATCACGTCCGAACATCCTACTAATACCTGGCAGTAACCTTGTCGCATACGCTTTCACCGACGCTATCCTCGTAACCCCCATGGGCGCTCTCTCCGTCGTTATCTGCGCTATACTGTCCACTATATTCTTGAAGGAACGCTTGAGCTTTGTTGGAAAGGTGGGCTGCTTCAACTGCATCATCGGATCTGTCGTCATTGCGGTGAACGCGCCAGAGCAGTCGTCTGTGGCGCGCATCCAAGACATGAAGAAATGGGTCATTGCGCCCGGCTTTCTCAGCTATGCAGGTGTCGTCATCGTCGCATGTGTTGTCATTGCTCTCTGGCTCGGCCCAAAATACGGAAAGAAGACCATGATGGTCTACATCACCATCTGCAGTCTGATCGGAGGGCTGAGTGTTGTCGCAACCCAAGGTCTTGGTGCTGCTGTAGTGGCGCAGGCTTCTGGCACATACGGCGGACAGTTTAAGGAATGGTTCCTCTACGTGCTGCTCGTCTTTGTGGTCGTCACATTGCTGACGGAAATCATCTACCTCAACGTAAGTCCCTCACTCTGTCTTGGCCATGTGGAGTATGCTAAGCTTTGCCCAGAAAGCCTTGAACCTGTTCAATGCTGCTTTGGTAACACCAACCTACTACGTCTTCTTCACTTCCGCGACTATCGTCACCTCCGCCGTCCTCTTCCAGGGTTTCAAAGGCACACCGCTTCAGATCGTCACCGTCATCATGGGCTTCTTGCAGATTTGTTCCGGAGTCGTGCTACTACAACTCTCCAAGTCGGCCAAGGACGTTCCCGACTCCGCCGTCTTCAAGGGCGACCTCGACCAAGTGCGAACCGTCGCAGAGATGGAAGAACCAGAATACGAGCCCCGAGCCGACACCCTTCGCGGCGGCGCGGCAATCCTCAGATCACTGTCAAAGGCTAGGTCGCACAAGGAGCTTGCTGAGGCAAAGAAGATTCAAGAAGAGCACATGGAACCGATTGGTGAGGGCGAGCAGGTGGAGTTTGACGGTCTCCGAAGACGTAAAACGGTTCTCGACCCCAACCGGCCACCGACGCGCAGCGGCACCATTGTCCAAACCCGAACCATCCACCCCCCTCTTGGGATGTCACAATTCCCGACCGACGAATCCGACGACGACGACGATAACGCTAGCTTCCATCCCGGCTTCTTCCAACGACTGCGCTCCCGAGGCAAATCGACTAGTAGTCGCGGCAGCTCTCACGCTCCAGGAACTGCAGGCATGGGTATGCAGACACTACCGTCCATCCCACAAGCCGACGGCGCATCGGACCGCGAATCAGACGCCGGATCCTACAAGCAGACCATAATGACACAAGACACATCCTACAAGCCAATCGATACGCACATCCAGTTCGCCGCGCTCCCCGACCCGCAGTACCATCACAGCCGTACCGATTCGAACGACTCCCTCGCGCCACCACGACCGAACCCTCACATCGCGAAACGCCAATTTTCCTTCCAAAACGTCTTCTCTCGGCACCGCTCAGAATCCACAGGCGAAGCGTCAAGTAGCAAAGTGCGCCCGACTAGTAGGCATAGCCGGAAGAGCAGTAGAGAGGGCAAAGCGGCAGCTACTGCTACGGAAGAAGAGAGACTAGGCCTTGTCAAGGGCGATTCAACGAACCTCCTTCCCATAGCAAGCCGTGATGATGATGACGAGCCGGTCGGACCACCAGGCTACTCGGATGACTGGGATATGCCGCGGACGTCTAGTCCGGGGTTTGAGCCCGAGAGAGTACAGAATAAGCCGGCGATAAGAAGGGTGGATACTGATGGCTCGGAACTCAGTCCGAGAGATCCAAAGGAGTTTGAGAAGGGCGGCGGGGGGCCGTACTTATAGCGGTTAGGATGATGACTTTCTCCGTCTTTCCTTCGCGTTGTATCTCCTACTTGGCTTCTTGGATGTCGTTTTGCATAGTTTAGTTGGGCGCTGTTGGTATATATTGAGCGTCGGCGCTTTCTGCAGTGTGGACTGGCGCGATATGGCCAGTGGATATCCTGCTGGTTCACGTCGTGAACGACGGTTTTTGACGTTAATGAGTACTTTCATGTACACGAAGATGTTTCAACTGTTAGGTGAGTGTATACGTAGATAGAAAGTGGAAAGCGACTGAGATACATGGTCGTAGAATATATATCATGATGATCACCACCACCACCACTTTTGACCACAGGAATTTTTGCAGTGTCCGAGCGTTCGGCGCTTGGGCACGGGTATATAGGATCCTCTCGGCTTCCTTCTTTCCTGTCATCATCCAAAATTCATTTCTTCCCTTACCAAAAACAACATAGATTGGACCGATGTCTGCGGGCGCCCTCTTCCTTTCAAAACTACGCAACGTCAAGGTCTTGTTTTGTTGGCGACTTCCTGGCGTCTTACCCCCCAAAAAAAACATGACTGCATGAGCATACACCAAAAGGCCCAGAGCAAGAGCATCATGACTTTTCTGCCGGCTCTGGTCTTCTTCCCAGAAATGATACGCCGATCGTGCCATGTGTCTGGCGCTGCGCTCACACAAAACCCAACCCGCCCAATGCGATGTTCTGCGTCTCCGAAGATTTCGCAACCTCTGTCTCGAAAGCGGATTTTACATCCTCAAAAATGCGTTTCTCAATGCGATGGTGTTTCTGGAAGTGGGCTTGAATTGTACCTTGGTTTCCACTCTCGATCGATTTCCAAATGACGGGATGATGTTGCGTATGGGAAGTGGGTGGTGCTCGGGTATTAATACCTCCTCACGCCTTCTGCCGTTCTTCTTCTTCATCCACACATTTCTGTGTTTATTACCAAAGGACTCCGGTGGCACTGCGCATGTCTGAGCAATCTTCCTCTTTTCCAAAATGACTATGAAGTCAAGACATGTCCGCGCTGCTGTGCTCCTCTCAAAACCCTAGAGGCACTGTCGATGACTGAAAACTTTCGCTGAAACAAAACACCCCGGTACCAGAGCCATGTGCAGGCGCTCTTTTTGCTCTTTTCAAAGTAACATCTCTAGCTGGGAGTTTAAATGTCGGTTCAAAAACTTGCTCCGAAGCTTACATGGTCTGGTCCGAGAGTTCGGCGGTCTTATATCTTTCTGTCATTCTCGGAAAAGCGATGAAAACTACCAAATGTGTTCGAGTGCGATCTCAGAGCATTAATTATCTGGCACTCTTCTTCCTTTCTTATCCGCTCGATGGAGCTGTTGTACCAAAACAGTGGAGGGAGGCCGATTTGTATCCTGTGCTGTTTGGAGCACTCAAAGATGAAACATCAAAATGCTATTCGCGGATGTACATGGCTGCGTTTCGCTCCTCTCACTCTTTTGGATTGCGGAGATTGAAAGCGTCGATGGCTCGTCCGATGCTGGGGCTGTATATAACCCCTCATCTTTCCGCTATCCCTTTTCCCTCTTCATCCACCCAAAGGCTTTATTTCTCTAAAACATCTTCACAGCGTTTACATGTTTGCTGCGCAGTGCCCAGTTCAATCCGCTCAAAGACCAAAAGGGTATTCGCAAAGATGAATGGCTGTGCCAGCTCCATCCCTTCTATCTTCGTCCCAAAGTCCAAAAAGCGTACCTCGCTCACGCACGCTATACTTCCAAAGAGCGACATAAAAGAGAACTTCGCCTATTTCATGTCTTTCCAACAAAACGATTCAAAGGACGCCACATGCTGTCCGCTTCTGCAGCCCTTCCTACGCTGGCATCGTTCGTTTTGATGCGACCCAATTCCCAAAACTATATCTACTCTGATGTTCTACAATGTCCAGAGAACAAGTACGGGGTGCATCATGTCGTAAACCTAAGCGAAAAGCAACGCGGCAAGATCGTTCGTGGAAGGAAATGAGATCATGGGAATGAATCTCCGGTTTGCGGGCTTTGAGGATGACATGACTGATTGATGGTTGCCTACTCCGGCGCCAGTAGATGCGTTATCGGATGACCAGCCCCGGCCAGTATCCTTCAGAGGTAAAACCGCTTCCTCAGTGTCTTTGGCAACCAGCGTTGGTTGTAAGTGCTGAGATCCCGCGACCGCTTAACCAATCAAGTTGTTACGTCGTCTGCGCGATAATTCGGATCCAGTGTCAGATCAAGTTTGAAGGGTTCAAACTTTCTGGGTTTCCACCAAACCGTTATTCCCTTGAAGCGTACAGGCTCTGGTGCCCGGAAAGTCCAAGAACCCCAGGTAAGGAATAAATTATGAAAGTATGCAGTGTTTTGTATCTGCTTGAGCGAGTAGCGTTGGTACTCCGCGGCATGGGAGTTCTTGCCCGACCTTTTTTCTACAAGATCCACGGCACAAATCGCTAATTCAACGGCCTCTTCATATCTCAGATTCCCCGCCAATGCAGCTATACCACGATTGATAGCCATTATCGTGTACGGATGGTCGTTACCGAGGCATGCTTGAGCTACTTCGATAGGCTCTTTATAGAACCATAACTGATACCATGTCCAGTCGCCTATGCGGGTAAACGGGACGCCTTTGTAGGTTCGCAGGCGAGCTTGGAGCTCAAACCGCTTTTGTACGATCAGTAGAGACTGTTCGTGTGTTTCTCCGTAGTTCGAGACAGTAATCTTGTAGAGTGGATCTAGTATTTCCAGCGCTTTCCGATATTTGCATCGGCGCTCGTAATGTATGACGAAACTGTATTTCGCGTTGATGCATCGCAAATTTTGGTCGCCAAGAAGTTTGCAAACTCGGGGTATAATCAGCCTGTAGACCGCTTTTGCCCTGTTGGGGCGATTCGTGATGTCTTCCAAAATTGCTAGACCGGTATAGATGTTGAAGTTCTCCAGAAAGACTGCATCACTCCCACCTCCGAGAAGCTCGACTCTGCTGTTCTCGTCCTTGAGTTCTGGACGCAGCTCGAACAAATATTGACGAGCTTCCGTGTCACAGCCTTGCAAGAGATGTACCTTGACTAACCAATTTCGTAACCCATCGAGTGCAACGTGATCGGGGGATAAAACGGCTTTGCAACGATCGTACATGCCCTGTATTAGAGCGAGTGCTTCGTTCGGCATACCAATGTTGACGAGCTTTTCACACAGCACTGACATTTTGGCCCCCACGATGAAGTGTCCAGGACCCAGTGCTTCTTTCCAGTCTTCCAATTCTTGCCGCTCGACTTTCAGTATCTCTTGTGTCTGCTGCTGGTCTCGGTAGTACTGCATGTTGTCTGTGAGGTCTCCACGTACATGGTGTATTTGTTGCGATAGCTTGGTCCACCAGAGGTATCCATTGTGATGGGTATCCTTGACTCTTGCGAGACGATAGTCGAAGAAACTTCGATTTGGCGCATGCTTTGAGAACCAGAAGTTAGCTAGAGCTTCGTCTCTCTTCGTACCAAATCCAAGACTATAGCATGAAGCGATCTCCAAGGCCATTGCATCGCGTAGAGGCGTCATTTTCGGGTCATGCAACACTTCCCGGTGTCGAGTATTTAGACTTTCGAAGATCATGGCTCGGACCCGGTAGTCCGCATCGTAGAGCTGCAGCATTCCATGCGTAACCTATACTGTCAGACCGAGTCACTGCAGGCTTGGGAATACCTACATCGAACCAGTCGAGGTCATCCGTCATATTTCGAATCGCGTTGTAGTTCAGACTTGGATCTGATTCGAGCGGTTTTTCGATAACACACCGTGGACCCGAGCCATCGTGATTTGTACAAGCTTCGAAGCATTCTCTCAGGGTTTGGAGTGCAGCATGTATCGAAGGGAGGCGAGCTGAGGGGTCAGCAGCTAGCGTCAGTTCGAAAAGCTTACTTAAGCAACCTTTACCATTTCGATATGCCTCGGAGCTCTGTTGTACTTTTCTTCTTGCGATTGAAAGCATGGTGCCGCTGTTCAAACATGAAACGTCGTCGATGAAGTCGCCGGGTGGATAGGCGTTGTGGTTGTAGAATAGCAACCACAAAAAGCATACGCCGCATGAGTACGACATCGCTCTCTGAGCTTCGGGGATATGGAATCCATTATGATGATATTCGTTGGGAGGTATTGACCACGGACGTGATTCGGGTAGGAGAACGAGTTGATCAGGTGCTTCGCCTGGTATCACTGCACTAGAGTGCCCAAAATCGGCAAGTTGAATGGTGACTGCACTGTTCTCAACCGTATCGATGAAGACCAATATGTTCTTTGGTTTGATGTCCCCATGTACAATGCCTGTTGAAAATTAGTTGGATCAATCCCTGAAACCATCGTGCTCACCATTTTCTTCCAGATCGGCGACAGTGATGGCTAGTTGTATGCAAAGACTCAGTCTTTGCGTATCGCTGAGAGATCTGCCTTCAAGACCTTGCATGAATGACCATAACGTTGAATGAGTGGCCTTCTCGAAGATAAGGACCGGCTTGATAAGCCATTTGCTGCCCTCTTTTTTACTGTCCACATTCCAGCCGACGCCTTGTAAGGTAGTAATAAAGGGATGTGTCCGAAGAGCGCGTGCGCTCACAAAATTGAGCTCTAGCAGGAAGGCACTCTTAGAGCTGACCTCCTTGAAAGCGAGCTCGAAGTCATTCCTGATGAACCTTTGAGTCACAGTTGCAGTCAAGCCAGCCCCTACGTTACCAAGAGTTGGCTGATGTATCAAAGAGTAAAAGTCGACGTGGCGACTTTGCGCTAGCGCTAGAATCTGTTGCAGGGTCGCGTCTGGCGTAGAGCTGGTAGTTGAAACTTGGTGCGCGATTGACGCCAGAGAAGCCACAGAGTATGCAGTGTCTCGCACAAAAAAAGAGCTTTCTTGCGTGCAAACTGTAGCGTCTGACATGAAAACGATTGGGGGCGTTCATGAAGCGATGGAAAGTGTTGTGAGGGTGTTTCAAGGTTTGTTTCAGGAGCAAATTTAGAATGCCAGGCAGTACCTGCACCTGGGTAACACGCGGGCGCGTCGCGTCTTACGTATTGCGACCACGCTATGGACGCTATGGCCACGCTAAGGTACCACGAGAGCGACGCGCCGACACAACACGTTGATTCACCATACCATGACCAAACGTACAAATCGAAAAGATGCTACCTGACAGCGCTAAAAAGCTCATTCAACGCGTCGACAACCTCAGCTTTGAACATCCTACGCAAAACCAAGTCGTCGTCCACGTGCCCAGTTCTCCCCTTGGCAGCAAAGTGGTCGCTCAGGCAACACATTACCACACGTTGATAACGCGATCCCATTGTGAGCTCAACCTGGGCTAGACGCGTGTCCAGAATCTCCTTGGTGAACTGCTCCGGCCCCAGGCCGCGGAACCGCTTACTCTCAGTAAGTGTCACCAGTGGCGCCCAATGTCCGATTTCTAAAAGCATCATACCCATGCTGTAATAGTCGTACTCCTGACGATATCTCGATTTATTCTGCAGATAGTCCGGGTGATGATAGTTCAGTCTGTTGTCAGGGCCAAGCGTAGCAGCGTCCGCCTCGTTCTGTCGACTGCTGGCGAATCCTAGCATGATCGGTGTTTGTGCCCATTCTTTTCGGTCTGCTCCCTTCGCTGGACAAAACAAGACATTTGTCGGGTTGAGATTACGATGCAACCAACCCACCGAATGGAACTGGTAAACCGCTTGCGACAAGGCATAGCCGAGACGTATACGGCCTTCGAGGGTGGGACGATAGGACAAGCCTCCATGAAGCATCTGATTCAATGTCAGGCTTTGCAATTCCTCGTCCGACGAGCTCGGTAGCTCATACACCAAACCGAACGACCTTCTGGAAGGGCGATGATATAACCCTCGGCAATGTAGAGTACTCGGAATACGGGCGGCGTCGTCGTTATGCAGTAAGCTTGCTACCGAAGCAACACGGTCCCGGAACTGTCTTCCCGTTGCATCGTCTGCCCACGCAAAGCTGTATTCCACCCATTCTACCAGGAATCTACCCTCGTTTCGCTCTATTAAAGCCCGGGTATGTTGCTCAATGTCATCGAGCAGTTTGACATCCTGATCTTTAAGGAAGAGACCACGCTTTTCGCTCAGAAGCCCCTGCCGCTCCTTTTCGATCAACAGCTTCACAGTAACGAGTAAGCCGAGTTCGTGGCTCACCGCATTACTGGCCCCTGCTGCCGGGCCGAAATCGAAACCATCGATTTGGACGTCTTGCAATATCAATTGTTCCGAGTGAGTTTTGGCCAACCCGCGGCAATGAATGGGGAGTGCACCGAGTAACCGAACATGGATTTGTTGAACCTGCTTGAAATATCTGCGCCTGTAGTCGTCGTTCTTGTCTGCGAGACTGCCGAGAAATGCGGACATGCTTTGGAGCTCGCTTTGGATCAGCTCAAACTGGAATGTCGGTACCTCAACACCTTGGGGCTGCCGACGTAGCCTGTCGTGATAGAATGTCTCAAAGGCATTACTCCAGCCTTCGAAGTTCATTCGCCCCAGTCTTAGATCGGCGGCGCCCTTCAAGTCTCCAAGCTGCTCCCAAGCTGCTGATACGAGACGAGCCAGGCCAAACACAGCTATGTACTGCAATCTTAGCATGACCTCCACTGCCCTCGGGCGCTGTGAAGGTTCGAAAGATAACATCTCTTCGCAAAGCGTTATGAGCGAGGTTCCTGGGCTCGTGCTGCACTGCCGAAGTGACATCAGCCAGTTTTGCACCACAAGGCTTGGTCCAGCAGGCCCGTGGTGAAATCTGAACCAAGTTATCTCGTTCATCACATCGTGACACCGAGCTCCTCGGAACTTCTTCACCCCCTTAGAGCCTTCGGCCAAGAATGTTGCAACCTCAGCAAGGATACAACCAAAGGACCATATGTCGCTTGCTCTCGTAACCTCGGCGTTTTGGATCAGACCCCCATGGAACCGTTGGCATTCGGGTGCGGTGTAGTCCGATCGAGTCTCTTTCAAAGCTGTCAAGGAACCTTCTTCTTCCGCTTTGAAGGTAGATAACCCAAAGTCTCCGAGAACAAGAGTTCTACCGCGGACGAAGATGTTACGTGGAGCTATGTCGTGGTGGCACCCGGTCAGCTTCACATCCAGTACAACCGAAGAGAAGTTGTGTACAGTCTCAACAGCAGAAGCGAGGTCCGCCAAAGCTGCGAACAGCGGATGATTGTGACGTGACAAGGGTTCAGGATTCGAGAAATACGGCGCTACCAAATCTCCGCGAAGCAGCTGCGCAAGAGTACCCCCGTTTGCCTCATCAAAGACGAACGTGAAAGCATCGCGAAAGCGGTACGAGCAGAAAAGCTCTACAAGGTTCGGGTGTTTGAGATGTGATAGCAGGGACAGATTGCGGAGCTCTTGCGCAAAGGCATGCTCTGCTTGTCCCGCAGACTTCTTGATCTCTTTTCTCACGACCTGCATGCCTCAGCAATCGTTCTGCTATTCTCATATGCAAAACCCACCTTGTTTGCCTCGATGGGCAGTTTATGACATTGAGGATGTATCGTAGTTCTATATGCGATTCCGAGAGAACCTTCCCCTATCTCCTCTTGATGGACGATGGGTAGTATGGTCCCCTGCCCAAGTTCGCGCGTCAAGAGAAGTCGGGAAAAGAATGGAGTGGAAAATTCCCACTGCTTCTCGAGGAAGCGTTGCACTTTCAAGTCATCGGGTTTCACATCGAACAATCCGGCAAGTGAGCTTGGCTCGAACGGAAGGCGATCGTCAGGATGCGACCTTTGCAGCGCGTCTTTCCTGAAGAAGTCCAGAATCTGGCGACCGCATTGTATCAAGAGCAGAATGGCGAAGCAACGTCTAGCACCTTCGATGATCTTGGAAAGAAGCTCCTCGTGCTGATAGAAGTGTAAACCGAGCTCACGAAGAGCCATGCGAATTCGAGGCTCAGACATTACACTGATTAACTGTCCCTCAGGCACAAAGAAGCGGGCCTCGATGTTCTTGTTCTTAAAGCGCAAGCCTTCAATGCTTTCGACCAAATCGTCCATTTTAGTTGTTCTCGGGTTTTTGGATAGATACGATTTCGGCCTAGTCCACCTGCAACTCAGCAATCATGACATCACAGGGCTACATCTCGCATGAGCGTACCTCGGTCAGTCTTTCTGGAACCGTCAAGTCGTAAGACTCTTGGTTTTCCTACATCGTACGTCAGTGCTCGGAGCGTAGAACGGCTTCTTCGTGTAAATTGCTCACTAACCACTATTCTGAAGTTGCCAGCTCCAAACTTATCTCGCAACAAGGCTTGAAGATCCCCAAGAGCGATGTACTGATGTGTTATAGTCTGAGCCAACATCATTGTGGTGGGGTCGGGTCGTAAGGCTCTGTGTAGGATTGCGAGATAGCGAGGCAGAATGGCTGGCCTTTATGCGGGTCGCACTGCAGCCCGTTCATGTCGCTCGATTGGATGTAGCCTTGACACGTATTCGAAAAGCGCCACCAAGCAAGCAAATGCGCTCACCGGATCTTGCAGGAGGACGTCTCGTACTAAGCTATACTTTAGTCATGTGGGCTATGCAAACCCATCTATCGTGTTAGAGCGATTACGTTGTGCTACATTGGAACATGTAAGCATCTCTTATTCTTTTTACACGGGAACAATGGTGACACTTGACCAAGTGTCATCGCCTTCTGTCCAGAACTATCCGCTCGCACCAGATTGCTATGCACCAGATGGGCTCGATCGTACGCTTTGTGATGAGGCTTTGACGAACGAAACCGGGACATTCTTCTGCAAGACAGGCGGTGGCCTTACAATTTTATGGAAAGAGAAGCCTCAAGGCAAGTTGTATTAATACTGCCATTGAAGCGCAGGCAAGCTTTGATCCCTAATAACACAGAGCGAAGGACCAATTTTGGAGAGCAACGTGTCAAGCGATGACCTGGAACAAGGATATCTTGAGACTGTATGTATTGTTCAATTCTGTCAAAACACATCTAACTTGTAAGAAACCACCGGCACCACATAGAACAAAACTCTTGTAAGCGGTCCGCGGCTAAATTTACAACCTTAAGTTGAGCGCAGTCAGTATTATAACACAACGCTTCTCCTGGGGGCAGCTGTCAATAACGGAGCCCGCATTTCGCATCTTGGCTGGCCGCTTAGGGATATTTACCCCGTTCATAGATATTGTACGCGCTTTCGGAAGGAAGGTTGAAGATGATCAGCGCGCACGGCACACCTTCTATTCAGCCAGGTTTAGCCAATGCCTGGAACTATGCTACAATATGCGCTACGTCGAGCTGAATGGACGACAGAAAGGTCATCCATGGTCATTGCGCCAGACAGGTGTGTATCACAAAACGCAATTATCTGGGCAACAGTCCACCTGGGTTATACTGCAGCCATCTAAGTACGCACGTACAAGCTTAACACCGTACCTCGAAAAGGTTGATGCGGGAAACACCGCATGCAAAACTCCTGCTTTACACGTCCATTTCGTGTTCCTGTACTCCGGTATCAAGAATTGGCATGCGTATATCGAGTACATGGAAGCCCAGCTAAGACGATACGTGAGTAATAGACCCCCTACGCCAATATACAACACACTGCTGATGCTCACCACAGGAAGAAAAGGCAGTGTCTTCGCACCTAGACACACCCGTTCACTACGATCATACCGTCCTCTTCTCAGACATCCAATGTCTAACAAAGCTCAAAAGCAGACTATCAACATCCACGGCCGCGGTAAATGGGCAACTCAAAGTCCTGCAAGGCTGGAATAGCCAACACACCCTCCTATGCGGCACGAGAAGCGCATGCGACGCAAACAACACAGTCGCGCACCTGAAGATCGAGATCGAGCACACGCAAGACGCATTCCGCAGGCTGATGCGCAAAGCAAACGAGTGCAGGAAGCTACTGGACTCTATTCTCACGACAAGAACCAACGCAGCTCTCCTACTCTCTATTACACACATGCAAACCAATGTCAACTTACATCGCGCTACGACAGACCAAATGCACACGCACACTATCGAGCTCGTGCGCACCGCGAAAGAAGGCCATCAAGACACCATGAACGTTAAGACGCTGGCGCAAATCGCTACTTTGTTCCTCCCCGCTACGCTCATCGCCGTAAAGAACCCATTTGTCTGCGTGTAATGAAATGCTAACGACGGACAGAGCCTGTTCAGCTCCGAGATGCTCATACAGAAGACTGGATCCATCTCGTTGCTGGGACTGTATTTTGCAGTCACGGTGCCGTGCGTACTTGCGACACTGGGGGTTATGCTGGGTGTGCAAGGCGGGAGGTGGAGGCGTTGGGTCAGGGCGATGATGGGGAGAAGGAGCATGCCTTGAGTCGGCATGCTGAAAGGCGTTTTGCGAGGATTACCTGAGTAAAAGTGAACTTTCGCATCAGCTGCAACCAAATTGTATCAGTTCGCTCGATGCGCCTTCAGCGAAGCAATCATACCTGCTTCGCGGCATGCACAGTAGTCAAGCTGTCGCGTAGGTGATGGTTGGGCACTTGTGGTGCAGGCGGCCAGGCGGGACACTTCGGGGCTCCCGCAACATCGCGCTGCCGCGCACCTAGCCCGCCCCGATAAACCTCACGAAGCATCCGCACAAGTCCAGATTGAAGAAGCACATGTATAATCGAAGAAGCGCACGTATTGAATCCGCAAAAGCACCATCTAAATAGCGTATCCCTTGTGTCCAGCATGTTCCGCCTCGCATAACACACTTGCGCGGTCCACGGGTCGCTGCCACCCCAAAACCACGGACCAAAAATCCCCCAAACACCCTTCCAACAAAAACAACATACAACGTTCCATGTACATAATACACTTCTTATGCACCCTTAGACTACAAGGCCCTCTGCATCTACTACCCCTAGCTTCCGCGGTCTATATTCAAACCCGCGGACCTAACCGAGTCACCAAGACGACTTTATTGTAAAAAGCAACATTTGACATACTGCATACACTTCGCCTGCAGACCACTCCACACCAGCTATATCCACTATGCCTAGCTTCCGCGACGTGCAAAAAGCATGTATCTGATCACTAATCACGTATCCATGCCATGCCATGCCATCCACCAGGACCGTGGGTAGGTAGTTACGGGGAGGTAGGAACTGCAAAAAGGAAAGCTCTCCAGCGGGGAATTGAACCCCGGTCTCCCGCGAGTTGTCTTTTGCAAGATGACAAGCGGAAATACTGACCACTATACTACTGAAGATTGATCAACTTGATAGTTGAGTAGGTGGTTGATGGCAAACCTCAAAATTTGTGCGTCAATAACATTCGTTATTTGACGTGCAGTGACACTGGCGTGTACTCATCCCCTGAGGGCAACCCACTCAACTCGCTCCTAGATGATGGCGTTGTTGGGACGATGAAAATTTGTGTGGTGGGGTCTTTGAGCGGCGGCGGCGATTGGATCCGACTCGAGTCATCTGCGGAACCCAAATCACAGCACAATGTCAAGTGCAGCACTCCAACAACGGTCCACTAAGCAGCCATCTATCCTTTGGACAACATCGCACTCATCACACAAATGAAATTGGTATGCAAACAAAGTATGGTGGTATCATTTAGATTTTCATTTCAATATCCCTCAAATCATCTTATTCTTCTCATGCACATCTAAAACTGCATGCTACCCATACCGAGACCCCTCCTGTAAATCGTTCCAGTACCGGTGAAGTTACCAGTCTGCGTAACAAAGTTCTCAGTGCTGCTGAAGTCCTTGATATGACCAAGTAGAATCTCCAACATGCGGTAAGCAACACCAGGAGTGTAGCCGGGCAGCTCGTGACCAGCAAGACGGGCAGTGTAGAACATCATACCGCGCTCGGCAGTCCAGTAACCCTGGTAACCAGCACCCGCAAGCGCACCACCGTTGTACTCTGGGTGGTAAGGAGCGTACAGAGGGGTGGTGGGGTACTCGGAGAGACCCTGGGCGCCGTTCCAGGTCATGTTCTGGATGGCGAAGAGGGTGCCGTTTGTGCTGAGGAGCATATCGAGGTCGCCGGAGCCGATGATGGTGTTGTTGGTGTACTCGATGACGCGCTGGAGGACGCCGTTGTTGGCGGGGCCAGGGGATTGGTCGGAACCTTCGTCGTCGCCGTTGCCGAAGACGTTGGTGTTGGTGCACTGGAGCCATTCGGTGCTGACGTTGGCGTGGAGTGCCATCTTGACGTCGGTACGGTTGAAGTAGATCTCGGCACCTGGAGGAGAGTAGTCACCGGTGTTGACTATGCCGAGCTGGGAGTACGGGTGCGGGCATGTCTCGGTGATGTGGTAGATGTTGAAGCAGGGGTTCACCTCGAGGATGGCGGAGTAGAAGTTGTCGAACTGGTCGCACGTGTAGTTCTCCGAGCTGTATGGGTCGGGGAGAACGGGGAAAGCGCCCTGTGGTGGGGGGAACGTGAAGTACTTGTCCATGTAGTCGGTGTAACCGCACTCCTTGTGGTGCTGGGTGATCTGCTCCATGAACGTGTCGTTCAGGAAGAGCAGGTTCTGCCAGAAGTTGACGAATGGGAGAAGGACAACCTGCTGCTGGATGGTCTCGTCACCAATGATGGGGTCGTTGATGGAGATACCGGCAAGGTTGAAGTACTTGTCATCGTCGGCAGTGATGAAGCTGTCGGCAATGTAGGGAACGTAGTAACCAGCGTAGGACTCTCCGGTGATGTAGGTCTTCCAGTTGTAGAGTCCGAAGAGATCAACGAAGCTCTTGTAGAAACCACGGAACTGATTGCCAAGCTCAACCTCGTCGGTGATGTTGGGAGTACCTTGCGAGTATCCAACACCTACGGGCTGCTCAACCCAGAGCATGTTGGTGAGGTTGGTCCATGAGTAGGGGTTCTGGACCGGGGCGAGAGTGCCAGATTCCCAGGTGAACGGGCCGTTCTCCGTGAGGAAACCGCTGAGCGAAGAGCATCCTGGGCCACCGTTGAGCCAGATGACAACTTCCTCAGGGGTCTGAGCCTGGGTGGAAGGGAAGAACCAGAAGAAGAGCTTTCGCGTCTCCTCCGGATCATCCGAGATGGGCAGCAGACCAGCGTAGCTCTCGCCAATATCGAAAGGAACCTCTGGGATACCAGTACCGTTGACGGCGAAGGCTATTGGCTCATTAGTCTGATGCATCACAGTACGACAATGAATACTAACACTCTGTCTTGTTGGTCAAGAAGAAGCTCTCGGCACGCTTCTGGATCTCGGGATGCTTGAAAGCCTCTCCCGGCATACGCCTCTCGACAGCAGGCCTAACCTTCTCAAACACACCACGCTTGTGTGGCGAGCTTCCAGCAAGAGCTGTAGAAGCACACAGCAAAGAACCAACCACTGAAAGGAGCTTCATCTTGGGATTGACTGATGAAAGCGGCTGTGAGCTGGCACGGAAGAAACGGGCCCAAGGCGAGTATTTGAACGTTCACTACGTGACGGCATTGCGGTATACAGACCCTTGCGCTTACCCCAGAAGAGCAGGAGGTTGGCGGAGGCACGAGCAAGGCTCGGTAATAAACCTCGCAAACGCCACTCTCCGGGTCGTGCAGGGCATGCTATCGCGTTGAGATTCGTAGCCGAAGGGCGAGCACCAACGAGGTATGCGAGATGACGCAGTGCAAACAGAAGCACAGCCTTAGGCACCTTCCTGAAGCAGGACTATACGAAGATTAGACCGAGACTTTTGCATGATGTTTGGCGTTGATTCGCCGCGGCTCTGTTTAGTGCATTCATTGTGCCCAGACCAGCTCAGAGTGTAAGCCTCGGAAGCGGATGCTTGTCGAGGCTTGGTCAAGCTTGTGGAGCGACGGACGATAGCACGGTTACCGTAGGTACATTAACGACGACACGCGGTATTTCTTCCGTATGTCTTCGTAAAGCGAATTACGAAAGATTCATGTTGCTATCGCATGGCGGTGACTGTGATAGTGACGGTGTTGGTACCGCGCCGCGTGGGCGCGTCATCAGGCCCAAGTTCAACCCGAGCAGGCGGGCCGAAGCTTGTTAAACTTCAGGGTACTGTTGAGGCGGGGAAATGAGAAGTCAGCAACACGAGTTACGGAACTCAAGGTCAAACGTCATGGGCCGAATGCGAAGTCTAAGTATTGCGCGTTTTTGAGGTTGTTAATATGAGAAGGGCCACGCGGGCGAACCGAACGATTGCTGACGATCGCGTGTGCGGTCGTGGCGGTGTTGCCCGGCAAGGCTGTGCTATGGCCAGCCCTTCTTGTATCTATCCCTTCATCGTCGGTACCCGAACGCCAACTCTAGCTTGTCGAAGTTGGAACGATGCGCATCGCAATTGGCGACCAACAGAAGGTCTGAAGGCGCCGGAACTAGCATGATGTCGTTGCCCAAGACATGTAGTGGCCTTTGACATGCGGTCGTACCTCGTGAGGCGTTGTTCTTGAGCAACGCCGCCATGCGCCACCACGCGCCAACAGCCCTCCCCATCTGACTACATGCGGGTCGGACAGCTTGGTTCCTATTTAGCTTGTCCGTCCTGACAGCTTGTTCTAGTTTTCCACAGGTCGCAGGAAGTTCATATCATCGAGTAGTTCTCTAGCATCCTCTGCCTTGTCCTCTTCCTGCTTGTCTGCGCCCACGCCGATGCTCAGATCCACCAGGCCGTTTGCAGGCGGCGAGAACTGGCGCAGCTTGACGCCGCTCTCAGTAAAGATTTTGGCTGTTTGGTCGTCGACGAGGTAGCCTTGGTTATAGACGACCTCGCTGATACCAACTTGTGTTATCTTGACGCTGCAGGTCAAGCAGGGGCATGTGTTGCAGTATAGAATGGCGTTCTCGCCGATGCGATCGCGGCCGGCTTCGAGGAGGGCGTTTTCTTCGGCGTGCAGGCAGAGGCAGGTGGAGAGACCAACACCTCCCTGTGCGGCGTTGTTGCAGCGGGGGCCTGTATGTTGTTAGTCCATGTCGTGGGGATGCCCGAGTGTGAACGTACATCCGCCCTCGTTGCAGTTGGTCATGCCACGTGGGGTACCGTTGTACCCGGTGCTAATCACACGCTTCTCTCGTACTATGCAGCAACCGACTCGTCGCTTCATGCAGTTGCTCCTGCGCGCTGCCAGGTCTGCCAACTGCATAAAGTATTGATCCCAGCTTGGCCGTACACGGGCCTCATCCATGAGA